ATTGTGTGTTTTATTTACATGGCAAATACTTATACTCTTACCATATTATAATCACTTATCACTTCTTCCATATCTGTATTGGTATTAAGTTTATCCACTAGCTGAAAAAATAAAAAAGCTCAGTTAATGCTCTGTTCTTTTTAATAACATTAAAGAGACATTATACAGAAATTTAGAAAACTCGTGGTTCACTCTTTGATAATGTTATAAAAGAGATGACTGATATTGTACTGAAAACAAAAATACCAGAAATGTTAATATACTACATGTAAACTTCATATTTAATAATTCTTACCTGTTTTGTATAACTGCAGAAAATAAACAATGTTAATATTACAGAATTGATACTGATTTCTCACATCCAAAATATATTTTCTTTTTTTTAATATTCTCTTTGGTTGTCCTCTCCTTTTAATAAAATTCTAAATATTGTGTTTCTAATGATTTTGTCATTTACTATGACAGAGAAAGAAATGCTAATTTTCAACTCCACTTCAAATTTGAAACAAAAAGTATCAGTCCAGTTAGCTTAATAATTTAACTATGACTATGAACACACTTCAGAATAATGCTTGTTAGTCAGTCAACTACTACTGCACAGCCAATATAAATGCTGTTTTTATGATTCTATGCAAACATAGGTTATTATTTGGGACATTTAAAAACAGTAAACTGGAGTATTAAATATAAAATTTGTCAAAACACATACTCTTTGCCCCACACAGAACAGCTATAAGGATTGCGACCTTAAAATATAAAAGGCATTGTAAATCCCATTGGAAAGATTTTCAAGTAACTAACATTTAAGATATGGGCAACTTGACATACTCCTTTTAAAGTTAAAATATTGTGATGCACATGTACAATAAACCTATAGATATATAAATGTACTGAAAGATAAAAAAATAACTTTTTCAGTTGGAAATATCAGTGTAGAGGTGATCAGATGTACAGAAGCAGAGTGCTGGCATGTAAACTTGAACAGGTTTAGAGGGGTTTGTTTTTGTTTTTTGGATAAAGGCTAGGGGAAAGCTGACAGGTACAGAGGAACACACAGTTTGGATAAAGACATCCCTTAAGGATGAATTCATTGAAAGTAGAACTCTACATCCAAGTAAACAGGATAGGAAAGAAGTTGATAAAGTATAGGTGGAATCTAGTCAGGAACAGTAAAATGTAAGAGTCTTCCATTTAAATACAACACTTAAAAGTAAGCAACTCAATACAGGCAGTCCCCGGGTTACGCGGATCCAACTTACGTCGGATCTCTACTTAAGAACGGGGCTTTTCTCGCAAGTAGAACTCTACATCCAAGTAAACAGGATAGGAAAGAAGTTGATAAAGTATAGGTGGAATCTAGTCAGGAACAGTAAAATGTAAGAGTCTTCCATTTAAATACAACACTTAAAAGTAAGCAACTCAATACAGGCAGTCCCCGGGTTACGCGGATCCAACTTACGTCGGATCTCTACTTAAGAACGGGGCTTTTCTCGCTGCGGAGGACGCAGGTGGTGGGACTGCCAAGATATGCCGCGGTCCCGCCGCCCGCATCCTCCGCGT